AGTAGCAGTTCTCACTATGTGTTAAATATCTTTGCCTTCAATACATTAAATTAGAAAGCTGAAAAAGTCATATTGCTTGTTAACATCTAAATGTAACCTTTTGCATGGAAAAAACCCTCAACTGATGTGTAGGTGATCTAATATTTAGTATTGTTTAATGGATGAGTATATCAGTGTATTAAAGTCAATACTTCATTCATTTAAACCAATATCTTTCTTGATTGCTCTATGAAAAAATATGAAAAAAAGAGTCTTTGTACCTGTGCTGAAGTTCACTGCTGTGAGAAGTCCAGTTCTTTCTCTCACTATCTGGTCCAGCCTGTCTGCATCACCTGGACACTTTAAACAAACAGATATATATGTAAAGTACCATGTGTACAAACAATATAACTGATTCTCTTCTGTTGAACATGTTGGATTGTGTATTGTCCGAGTCAGGGTCCTTTTTATTTTTACTGTAACTTTGGAAGTTGTGTTTCCAATGCTTACTGTTTATTTGATACCAATTTGGTAATGCAATTAATAAAAACAACAAGGTTTGGGTTCATTCTTCAGATGACTGACGTTAATGTGTAAGCTCAATAATGAACTCCAGCTCAACCAACCATATTGTAATATCTAAGTAATCATGTTGAAATATGACATTAACAATTGTAATATACACACATCTTATTGTGAGGTTGATTTAACATACACTACTTCGACATTAGCTTGTCTACATACTTGAGCATAGCCAATTTAAATTAACCTTAGCAATGCATACAGTTCCTACCTACATAATAAAATATCTCTCTAAGTTACAAGGATGACCTTATTTTATCAACCTCAAACATAAGCCGTTTGTTCTACAGTATTATCCCACTTAACGCTTAACACTTGTCTATTTCGTTTAAACCTTTATATACACAGTCTATGATTTTAACTTGGAGGCTACGATTAGCATAGTTAGCACCGATGTAGCTACCACTCGCTTACACACTAACCCAAGCCTTAACATTCATTATGTAGCTGATTAAAATCATTAACACATAAATAAGTACTCGAATTTCACTTACCGCAAAACCACATTCATGCACCGTCTGTTTCAACCGCAGAGCGAGTCACAATAGTCCGATATATAAGCATGAAGAACAAACAAACACGGCCGGGGTCGCGGAGTTGCGTTCCCTGGATGAACTGAGCAGGCAGAGTGGCTGTAGCATCACGGAGCTGCTAGCAGAGAGACAAGAAGCTAGCAGCAGCAGTCACTTGACAGAGCCGTCACTCAATGTGACCACGCCCTAATTTATGCAAAAACGTTAAGACCTAATATAAATAAAAGGGTCATGTTAGAAAACAATTCACTCACAGATCCATAATCATGAAGGTGGAATCTAACTATATTCATAATAATATTTATTGCAGCCAGGGGTAGAAACATGTTTTTTTCTGCTGTAAAGTTGGGCATTTTAACAAGGGGGTCTATGGAAATTGCTCCTTTCTGCAGTCATCGCCTATCGGCCAATATATGAACTGCAGTGTGTGGCACTTCCGTATTGGCGTCCCGGCTCTTCCCCAGAGTTTGCCGCTTGGGTTCAACAGGTCAGAGCAGTGGTCTGGTTTCTGAACTGCATTATGCTGCGTTCAAACAAGATGCACTGGCCAGGGGGCGGGGCTTATATCCATGTAAATACTGTGGTAGAAACCATCTACAACAAAATTAACATATTTTACCGTCATTTAATTGTAATACACGTTTCAAAATGATGCCGAAGTAACAACATACTGATAACAGTTAGTAAAAACTATGCATTAATGCTTTGACAAGTGTGCAGACAAGACGGCAGGCGAAAAACCTTTTAAAATCCGTGTTTTTCTGAATGGGGATTGGATCGATCAGGATAAGCTAACGTTACTTGTATCTGCTCCGTCCACACTCACAACAACATGATACAGACACAGACAACAGCGACTGTATTCACCATGACACAGACAGTCTGTGTTTTGTTCATCTATAACTTTAATCCCGTTTCTGAACAAGGGCTGTACCCGAATATCCGAATATTCGGTCGTTGGAGTACTATTCGGTTTTCAATTTTGTTATTCGACTATTCGTTTTTGTTTCTTTTGGCAGCCGCGCTGCACTGCAGCTGCCAAATTGAATTCATTGAAATCTCCAATATCAACGTAAGAGCTTGTGCCTCTTCGGGGGGTGCTAACACTTAACCATAAACTTTTTTCGTTTGCTTTCTCCGTCTTTATATGTATATTATATTACTTTTCTCCGTTTATCTCCGCTCCTTTTCTCCGTCACATTGTTTCCATAGCAACAACAACTTCCTGTCAACAGCGCTAACTCTCCTTCAAAATAAAAGCATGTCCATAAGACATATATACAACTGCAACAAAAGTAACAAACACAATGCAATATCCTTTTCAATTTCAAAGAACACAAATTGGGTTGTATACATTAACAAATAACTATAAAACAACAATACTGTAGAATAACAAAATGAATGCCTTGAATAAACAGAAATACACGCGTTGAAGCACGTGCCTGGCTATAACTTCAATGGAGTTGGGAACTCAGATGTATAGACAAAACAGTGTGCACAATGCGATACAAATACAGTAAAAGCATTAGAACAGACAAAACGTCCCTTTTCCTAACATGTTTCAATCCCTACGGTCCGCGGGAAATATATATAATATGTAATTGCATTCAATCCTCCTTGATTTCTAATACAACATTCATGTAGAGCAGGCAGAAAAAGTTAGACTGGATTGCCTCTGTTGGAAATTGAAATGATTCAGTACAAAATGATAAGTAAAGATATCCTTGATTACTCTAATGTAGTTCTCTTTCAGCTAATTGTTCAACTATGAATGCTGTACTTTCCACTTCAAGTGAAAGCTGATATGCACTTTATGTGCTAATGTGTTTCATGAACAAGATACGGACTATAGAGCAATTATTAGAATATGTTATTGCTTGTACTTTATTGCTGCTTATTGTGGTCCCTAACTTGGACTGATTTTGCTGAGATAATTGGATCATATCTTGGTAAAAATCAAGAAAATACACCTCAGGCTGGCCAACAATTAGATGGGCATAGTAGGTCAAATTGTTAGTTGTTTTAGTAAATGGCTGGTTAGTCTACTATATGATATGAAAGAATAAGACAGAAGTCGATAAAATATTTCGCAAGGGGACGTCTTAGTGGGTTAAGGGAATGTATACGTCATGGAACATACAGGAACCATCAATACACAATTGAGATGAATACAATAAAACTGGATAATGAGAATGTGCATTACCCTTTTGATGTTAAATAAATGAAGTTATTGATACGATTTATCTCTCAAAATACCTCTCCTCCAATACCTAAGCTATTGATAATAAACATTATCCAGTCTATTTCTTTCTATCCAATAGAGAAAGAAAAAGGATTAAATTGAGTCACTTGTGTTTGTGCCAACCATGGTTTTAGATTTGGCAATTGCTTTGAAAATTGGCTCTGCCAAACAAAATAGTCTCAGCAGGTGTCATCATTGATGGATCTTTAGATATATATTGCCTGGCCTGGACAACTACAACTATCTTAGTGATCTGGGATCATGTAAGTCACATCTCCATGCAGCTCTTCTTGAAAAACAACAATATTCCTAGCCTGGCTTTCACAAAGACCACTAAACACTGTTAAACATACACCATACAGTAAGAATAAAATTCAAAAATACAAATACAAAAACTAAATGACTCATTCCCCTGTGTGCTCCAACGTGTCTACTGCATATGGCAGAGGGCAACATACTGTAGATCAATACAAATTATATAAACAGCACTGCTCTATTATGTTGTTCTCTGTCAGTATTAAAATGGTGAAAGTTTAAACATCATTGCATATTTACTTTTTTCATTATGATTTTGTTTAATTAAATTGTTTCTCACGGTCCACTACATGACATGTAGCACCAGCAAAAAGTCTGATCTCCAGAGCTCTGGACATATAGATTCAAAAAAATATTAACAGCACTGAAATGTCTCCTTTCACATGTAAAAAATGTATTCCATTTCAATTGGAGATAAATGGCCAGTGGCCTCATAGTTGCATCATTGCAAGTAGCTAAAGATGCTCTGGAAGCCAACTAAAATATTCCAAAAACTAGAAGCTATATATGTGTAATTAAATAAATAAGGCATTTAAAGAAAAAGTTGATTACCTGAAAACTATTGTAAAATGTTTTAGGTTTGAGATGTGATAATTATCGCATGTTTGCTATGTTAAATTATCGGAGACTGATTCACATGAAACCCTACAGGGAAGAACTACATGCACCCGTCGATTGGTGCTTTAAGAGGATTTTGAGGGTGGGAATCCCCACACAAAGAGGGAGGGTTAGTCTCTCCTTATATTACGGTTCGTAGTAGCCTACATCCCAAATCAAGAGCAAGTGGGGCGAAGATGTGGCCCAGATCGCCAGCACCATATATCACACCAAACATCATTCAAAAATAATTGTTTTGTTACGTTATATTTGCTGCACACACACATATTAAAATGTACAGGAAGAATGACTCAAGACATTTTCAGATTCATATCCGCTCTCTGATTCCGCACAAATCCAATGGCTCATTGCCTCAGTTTTCTTTTCTTTGTACCTAATACAATGACAACTTTGTTATGTGGCTTGCTAACGGCAGAATATTAAACTAGTTTACGATAGAACCGTGTTTGGTCGTATAATGCAGCTCCCCTAAAAAAACATGTTCACTTAGTTATGACCGTTATGTAGTCCGTACTGAATAATGAAAACAAGAGACAGCGTAATATTCTGACGTTATCTCATGTTAGGTGCCATTACAGATTAACATCCCATAATCACTCAATGTTCTTAATAGAAGCGAATCGTTAACTGCAAACGGGAGAGAATGACACATACGCGATGGGCCGCTGCTGTAGCGCCATATGAGAGGCTACATCACCTAACGTTACACAGCAACAATGGAGACGACCTACCTGGGAAAAAATAACTTGCTGGTGGATCATTCTCTTAAGATAAGGGAGAATTCGAATAGGTGCACGCCTGCTAGTTTCCACGGAGCTCCATTTCAACGGTACAAAAAAAGCAGGAGGAACACAAATAACAGCGTACAGTGTAAAGGACCGATGAGGCACACGACAGAGGCTGTAATCACATCCTTCCCTTTTTCTCTGGACCAGAGTAAAGCTAGCTAAAATGCAACATACAGTTTCCGGTCACAGCCAACACTAGCCATTATAAAGTCGTATTCTGTTTACTGGTTTAGGGTTTATTTATGAATGAACATGCATTTTATATGAACAAATTATGATAAGTATGCGTAAAACAATTACATTTATTAAAACAATCTGATTAAAGAAATTCCAATTTAAAATATGCTCTTATTTTGAAGGTTCCACTTCTGGTCACATTAGAAATACATGTGTCAGATAGAGCCGGGTACCAATGCCTACAATAATGTAATACAGCCAATCGGAAAACCTACTTTTCTCCTTGTGTCTGCCCCCATCCCATATCATAAACACGTTTATATGCATATCACTCTCTCCTCTCCTCTATCGTTTCCCTTCAAAGAGCTGCAGAGGAGGCAGAGCGCCGTTGATAAGAGCTTCCTGCTGGAAAATATGCCGTTCACTATATCTTGGAGCAGTAAACATTAGTCCAACTGGAAAACGGTGAACTGAGCATCCAGGAGGTAAATACCCTTTTGCACTTTAGTAAATAGTAAAGTAGCATTTGGAGCATCACAGACAACGCCTCCGTTTATTACTGTCGAGTCCTACTACTACACAATAACACTCTGCGCATGCTCAAATACATGTACTCACAAACCCACTGCTTACATACGCCCCCCGCACTGAAAGAAATGTCCCCATTTCCATACAAAAGGAAACAAAAATAAAATAAAAACAACACAAATCAGCAATAATACAAAATATATAGAAATAACAAATAAATAAAACAAAAATAAAAACAACAATATACCAATGAAAAGCATCAAAACAAAACTGTGAAAAAAAACAACAACAAATAAAACAACTCGCAATATTCCCCTGACCGGCACACTCTAAACATGAACAGAACATAACATTATGCAGCATAGAATACAAAGGAGAACAGAAACACACAATCATGCTCAAACACACTGCTTACACAAGTACTAAATAATAGCGAGATATAATATTTTCATTTTAATTACACAAAATGTAATTTATAAAACTTTGTATGAGAATAGTTAGGCGGATGTTAGCCTTATCTGTGTTGTTACTTTATTAACATATGTTTAAAAGTAATCTTTTTATTGAAAAACTACATGATATTTTTTTGGGTTGAATTTATGGAGCTAATTTCCTGCTCCACAAACAAACTAAAACAGGTTTTACAAATGCCTCATGATTCACTAACAAACACAATGTGGTTTGCAAATACAAAACACCATCTACAAACTAATGCATTTAGTCTTGCAAAGAAAAAACGTATCTATCAAACAAACACATAACATTTTTCTAATAAATCATGTTTCAGAGACAAATTCAGCATAGGTTTTACAACTACAACACTTTTTTTTACAAGTGTAACCGGTGTGTTAAGCGGTCTCTGCATTGTGTTGTTAATGGACGAGACCCGAGCCAGCGTAGAGTTGAGACGATCTCTGTTTAATTACTGACAACAGATAAAACGATCAGTTTCACATCAATTTCCCTCACCCAACACTCTCACTCCCTAAACGTCCAGGAGCAACGCTTGGTCAGGGTCCCGTGGCGTGCAGTTGGGACGCGCCGAGGCTCCTTCAGCTTCATAAACGGATGCAAAGAGCTTTCAACTGATTGCAATGTATTCCCATCGGCGGCGGTATTTGACGCTCAGGGAAGCACCGCATCCATTTATGTCGGCAGCCCTTAAAGGCAATGTGAGCGTCCATTCCCATTGGATAACGGAGAATTGTACACCTGGAAGTAAGTATTGTCCTTACTGTCGAATGATTTGACAGTGATATCTCCACTACTCATCAACTCAAAAACACCAGATTATCCTTGTTAATTAAACGACATTGATAGGTTTAAATTGTGTACAATGCTTTTGTGTTTTTCCCCTTCAATTCTGAGAAACAACTTGATTTTTCTGAAATGTGGAGCACCAAAGAGACTACACTACCCACAATCCCCAGCTATTGTTGTGACGACGCCTGTCCGCTTTGACAAACCTCGTGACAAGTCAACAAGCTCTGTGATTGGATGAAACATAAATTCATACAAAAAAAGTCCAACCCTGTCTCCTAAAAATGACGTTCCCACAGAACTAAACTGCATTCTCAATTACGTTTGGCTAAACGTATTTTCTCCCACGTTACGTTTGTTATGAACGTATCCTAAATACGTTTATTTTCTACATATAGTTGCCTTTATTGTCTTGCTTATAATAATGATAATAGTCATTTATAAATATCATTTTAGAGCACACATTTGAAATCGAGAATCGGGCTCGATATATGGTTAAATTAAAATCAGTAGGCGAGGCTGTAATTTCGCCAGCTGTTACTCTCATGAGCGAGGCAGAAAATAATAGTTTTAACATGCCAAAAAGCTGCTGTGTCGTTTATTGCACCTCAAACATTAAAACAAATCCAGAGTTATGTGTTTCTGTACTTCGTCTAGGAAGAAAGGACAGTAAAAGAAGATCTCTGTGGCTTCAGGCTTGATCGCCGTTCAAATGACAGCGTTGGTTTCCCCAAAAGTGGGCGGGGCTGTAAAGTGACGTAGATTTGACTGTCATCTATTATTCAAAACCATTCTATTTATTCTAATGTAAATTGCATGCCAGTGTTTTATCTTTTTATTACTTGTATTTTTATACTTTATTTGCTATGAGTTATATCTGAAGCAAATTATGTTTCTGAAGATGTTTAGTCAATTCCACCCTTCAATGTAGCATAAATGTGAACTCTCATTACAGGAACAATACCGGAAACAGACGTAGGAAAGATCCTCAGCTCGCTGGTTTGATGTTTTAGCCGCAATGCACGTTTTTAAAGATATTACTGATTTTCTTTGAATATAAGAATGTAAATACTGAGTTGAGAGAATAGTCAGGGGATTTGGGTGATGGGAGACACATCTATGGAATCACAATTTAAATAGCTTACCATTAAATGACGGATATACCTTTCTGTCTGTGATGTTTTACAAATCAGATATTAATGTGGAGAATTAAAACATGAGAAATAGTATAGCAATATCCTGTAAAATTATGTAAAAACATGAATAAAACTACACTTCTTCAGATGTTATACATACATAAGTGTCCTACACTAATAATGCAAAGTTATTATTAGTATGCTGTATGTACCTTGTGTGCACCGCCTAGTGGTTAAAGCACGTTATTGAATTATTTTTGTTGAATAATGTTATTTGATGAACAAAATATTAAGAGTACATACTTTCATAGGGGGAAAGTAAAAGGTCAATGATAGAAATATAGAATATAAAAAATCAAGAAGATATTGTAAGTGATCTCTACAATAAAACAGTTTAGTGCTGGATGTACAAAGATATGAATATGAGGATGTGCAAATCAGACAAACTAATTAACCTTTATTAACACATTAAAGAATACTTTAGGTTAAGGTCTTCTTTCAAATAATAAAAAAGCTTTGGGGGTATCTATCTACAGATAAATATTAAGCCTGACAAAGTACTTAACGTCTAATATATTGCTTTCCTGCAATGTTAACTATGTTGAAGCACTTATTTTAAATGATATTATACACATTAATTATACTCTTATGTATGTAGATAGTATAAGAAATATCCATAATTTGACAGTTTAATGGTGGAGGTATACACACATATTGATAGATGTCTTGTAATGCACTGTTGAGGAACCTGTGACCCAAGTTTTTCATTCATTGCATAACTACACCGTAGTTGTGTATATGATTATATCGATAAACCTTTGAAAATCTTGAAAGGGATGTGCAAAATAGCCATTATATACAGTTTTTAATTAACTATTAGTAGAGAATAACGATTAATGAATATACTTTACAGAGATCTGCAGATAAATGTTTAGTCTTCTCAAGCACCAACAATCAAATATCTCTCTTGATTTTTGGCACTTGACAATCACCTTTCCCTGAATTTTACTCAGGTGTAACTAAAGTCTGCTTTAAGGGTTGTTTATATTTCACATCATTAATCAGAATCTGCAAAGTAACTAAAATACATGTAGTGGAGTAAAAATACCAGGTTAACCTGGTATTTTTAACCTGGTTGAATTGTAGTGGAGTAGAATTACAAAGTAACAATGAGCTGTCATGTGGGTATATATTAATGCTGCCCATTATGGATACAAGCGATTTTCACCCATTTAGTAATTACATGTTTTAAATTTGTACACACCAATTTGTTTCCTATCGCCTAAACCTCCAGGGCTGTACACAGTTTAATAGTGTCAACTTCTAATTTTGGGGAAAACGTCTTTTAAAACTACAATTCCCAGTAGAGACGTGCCATAGAGAACATGTTGCGAAACACAATAGCCAGCATGTGTAGTTCTCGGGGGGCGTTCAAGTCCAGTTTTGAATAGTCTGCCGTGGTTTGGTTCCATTTCAAAGAGCTTGACGCTCGGCGTAACATTGGCGCACTGCCACTCCAACATCCAATCCCAGAGCTTGAAGATTAATCACGGGGTTTGTCGCAAAGCGGACAGGCGTCGTCACAACAATAGCTGGGGATTGTGGGTAGTGTAGTCTCTTTGGCGCTCCACATTTCAGAAAAAACAAGTTGTTTCTCAGAATTGAAGGGGAAAAACACAAAAGCATTGTACACAATTTAAACCTATCAATGTTGTTTAATTCACAAAGATAATATGGTGTTTTTGAGTTGATGAGTAGTGGAGATATCACTGTCAAATCAATCGACAGTAAGGAGAATATGTTACCGGTCTCAGGATTGGGATCTGAGACGGCAGAAAACAATGACAAGAAGTCACACACGTTAGCGTATGGAATGTTCTGCTTTATTCAAAATCATAAAATATATTTATATCTCTCAAAATAACATAGTTCTTTATGTTTCTCAAACACATATAGAATTAATTAAAACAATAAACTCTGAATTGAAATAAATCAACTTAAATACATGTGTAATATTCCCTTTTCTTTAC